GTTTCTGCTGAGAAATCAGAGCTTAGTCTTATTGGTTGTAGGTAACTTTTGTTTTTCTCATGTTCCTTTCAGGATTCTTTCTCTGTCTTTGGTTTTGGTGAGTTTGATGATGATATGTCTTGGCAATTTTCTTTTGGGGTCTATCTTGTTTGGGGTTCATTGGATTTCTTGAATGGACATATTCTCATCTTTCATCATATCAGGGAAATTTTCTTCCAACAAATCTTTGACATTTTTCTCTGTGGTTTTATTTGTCTCTTCCTGTTCTGGAACTCCAACTACCCGTAGGTTATTCCTTTTGATGGTATCCCACATAGCCTTTAGGTTTTCTCCATTTTGTTTTGATGTTATTTCTGACTGATCCCTTTCCAAAGAAGTACTGAAGTATTTGTTTTCAATCTCACTAATTCTACCTTCCATTGATTAAATTCTCCTCCTTTGTTCAATGTGATATCTATTTTTGAAAATTTAGTATTAATCTTCTGTGTTTCTACCTGTAGATTTTGTATCATTTCTAATTTTTCATTTATTTTGTCATTTTGTTCTTGTATTGCCTTTTTTTTTCTTTCAATTTATTTTTTTATTGTGATTTGGGTGAAAGTTTACAGAGCAAATTCACTTTCCATATAGCAGTTCACATACACTTTGTCTCATGACATTGACTACAATTTACCACAATACAACAGCTCCCCTTCCACTTCCTCCCCATAGTTACTTCTCTGTGTCCTTCCCTCCATGCACTCCTGCTGTCTGACCTATGTCTCTGTGCATACACAGCCCTTCTATTCTCCCATGATTGTTTTCTCCAAGGAGTGTATCTACCTAGTGTAAATGTTCACCTCATAAGCCTGTCTTTTGTTTGGCTGGAAGCTACAGGTGTGGGTTCAATTCCAGACCATAAGGGCAGCTAGGAGCCATAGTCTCAGTGGTCCCATAAAGCTCTATCAGACCAGAAAACCTGGTTCTTTTATTTTTCCCCCAATGATTTTGAGTTTTGTTCCACATTGTTCTCCCACTCTATCCAGGATCTCCTACATAGATCCCCTTCTGAGTGGTTGAAAGGAGTAGCCAAGCACCATCTAGTTCTTCTGGTCTCATAGTCTTATAGTCTGAGGACTGCATGGTGTACCAGTCGCTTAGACTAACTGTTTCCATGAATCTTTGGTTTTCTTCATTCTTCTTTGCTCTGGATGAGGAAACATCCATTGTTGTATCTAGATGGCTGCTTGAAAGCTTTTAAAATCCCATTTGCTACTCACCAAAGTAGAAGGAGGAACAATGTGTACTATGTTATGCCAATTGAGCTTGATGTCCCCTGCAACTATGGTCCTGAGCCCACAGGTCCAACTACTTGCTCCCTCTGGATCACGGGCTGTGCCTAAGAAGTGACTACAACCTTGACCTTTGTGAGCTCTACTATATACCTGGGAATTCTTACAGAACATACAAATACACTTGTAGAAACATTGCCTGCCAACCCTATACGTGGTCTTGGGCACACTCTCCCCTGCACAGACATACCTAATAGTTCAGCCTGTCCACCGATCTATCCATCCATATATCCATGTTTGCCTTCACTGGCAACGCAATACTTTATGTGCAAAAGGGTTCATCTTTGTTGTCTGTACCTCCCATGCATCTCTCTTTGTCTTCCTCCTCCTCAATGCCACCGTGTTGGTCACTCATATTTAGTACATTGCCCTTTTCTTCACCCAAATCAATACTTGTCTCTACCTATCTAGCAGTGTTCCCTTCCCTCCCCCTCCCCCGTGATAATTAACAAAGTTTTGTTCCCTATATAAACCTTTCCTTGACTTTTCACAATAACAGAATAATATAATATTTGTCCTTCTGTGATAGACTTATTTCACTCAGTATAATGTCCTCCAAATTCATCCACATTATGCAGCGTTTTGCAGATTCTCTTGTATTGTCTTTTGAAATTGTCCTAGGGTTTTCTCTGTGTTTTCCTCAATTTTGTCAGTGTTTTCCTTGATCTGTCTCTCAACCCATTGAAGGTATCTAACTATAATTCTTTTGAATTCCTTATCAGGGAGTTCCAGTGCTGCTGTTTCCTCAGGGATGTGTTCTGGGTCTGTATCCTAGTCTCATGTTTCTACTGCTTTATCTTGCTTTTTTGTGTAGACTGTGACTTTTTTGTGTTTATATTTAATTGGTGATTGTATGTTGTAGTGATTCGCCCAAGATTTCCATTTTCTTTGTTTTGTTTGGCTGTTATTTGAGTTAGCAGGGTACTGTGCTCCTCTGTTTGCTAGCTGGCAGCCCTTATGTACTCACCACCTGTTTCCTTTCCAGTTGTTAGCCTACTGCATGTTTGTGCTGTCCTTGGCAAGTGGAGCCTGTTCTTGTTGTTGTTGTTATGTGTCATCAAGTCGGACCCGACTCATAGCGACCCTCCTTGGGTTTCTGAGGCAGTATCACTGCGGAAGTAGATTACCTATTCCTAGGTCCCTGAAATCTGAACAAGAATGCTGTCACTTTAAATATCCAAAATAGTCACAGCTTGTGAACATTCAAAGTGGCTGTGCCCTTCAGATAGCTGAAAGTCTACAGCTCAGTTTGTCTCCATCTTTGCTGTTTCCCTTTTTAGTCATCAGCCATCAGCGCAGTCATCCATGCAGGCGTTGGCAAGCAGGGCCAATTTTTAATTTAATTCTCAGGTCCTAACACCCCTTGGAAATATTCAGTCTGTCCATGCTGTCAGGATAGCTGATAGTCCACAGTTCTGTTTGTCTCCTTACTCACCGTTTTCATTCAGGTTCTTCTGTTGTTGTTGTTGTTAAGTGCCGTCGAGTCGTTTCCGACTCATAGCGATCCCATGCACAGCAGAACGAAACACTGCCCGATCCCGCGCCAGCCCCACAATCCCTGCTATACTCGAGCCCATCATCGCAGCCACTGTATCAATCCATCTC